AGCTTAAAGGCAACTGAAACCTAAAGAGTTTTATGGTGAGTTGGCTGGAAATCACCTGCTGTGAAAAGATAAAGCTTCCATCCCCACAACACTTTTTTATAATACCTTTTAAGGCCAGTGAACATGCCCACTAGACCTTCAGCTTACGCCAAAGAGCACCAGAGGAGAGTGGCAAGGCATTTCCTTAGCCTGACAGACTGGCTGTTTTACAGTAAAAGCAATGACACTTTAAGCAGCAGATTGTCAACTCTGTCAAGGCTGAAATGACTTCTGTGGCTCAACCCATGCACACGGCAATCTTTCAAACTGATATTAAAGGAGACAGCAGGGATTCAGACAGGAGGTCACCAGGGGAGAGTAGAGGAATGAAGGGAAAGGGGATGCTGCGCTGTTTTGATCACAAATCATGATGGGAACACATCAGTGGGGCCACTGACAACACTGTGGGTGCCTCTCTGTGTTCACATGAGGATAAACTAAGCTAAAGAAAAGTAGGGGGGGATTCCTGGGTTTGACATGAAAATGCTTACCTTGCGCTCTGTGCTTGGGACTTGTTTTTAGAGAAACCTAACCTAAGAAGGGACACACACATACATAGCCACAAATGGAGACGCTCAAAATGGCATGCCATCATCCAGGGTGGATTTGGGAGAGAGGAAAAAAAAATCTCTCATTCCAGCCACTGAAACTAACCATCAATTTATAAAACCCAACTGGTAAAGGCTAAAAAGAAACAAAAAGCCTTAAATAATTTAAATTAAAAAATAAGATTTTTTTTCTGCTTAGAACTTAATTGAGTTCCAACATTTTCTTCATCCCCAATTCCACCCCTGGCCATACCAGTACAACACATCACTAATGACCCTGAGGGCATCCCTGACACACTGGCATCTACAGTCAGCTGCCATTAAAGCAAATGGAAAACGATTGATGACCACTATCTTCTCAATTGCAGGCTCAATTCAACAGAGCAGCCGTGTGCTGGCTTTATATGTATTTGTTGTTCTGCCCTGGTTTGTTATGGATACACAAGCATGTAAATAAATACCATAATGGCAAGAGCATGCATTACATGAGCTGTGAGCAACATGAATGCATCCTACATGACAAAGTCAAAAAATGCCCGCTTAGATTTTGACAGCTGTGCTTAAATCAGCTGTTTACTGCACATCAGGCCTATTAGGCTCCATATTTCAAACACATTCCTTTAACTGTCTCACCAAGGCTACTTTTCCTTTTCACCAATGTGGTGCTTACTTGAACAGATGGTATCTGGAAACTAAAATCTGTGCATCTCTCAGTATTTTCAAACTAACAACTATTTGGCAAGAGAGATAGATGAGACTAACCTCAAGATCTAACTTGATTTCTCAGGACAGGCTCTGAGAAACAGCGAGCTATGCAGTGGTCATCAAAACACCAGATGCCATGACAAATGACAGATACCACATTCAAAACGTGACAAGTCACCACAACATCACCAAGAGTGACACCCATCCTTACCTAAACCTGTTGCGCAGTTGACAAGAGAGGAAACAGAATATATGTCAAAATGGAAGACAGCCAAAATCCTAAACTAGTAATCACTATTTTTAGGCCATGTTTGGCCTCCAAGTTAAGGCCTTCGGATCTCTACATACAGCTTTTGGTGACCTCTCAAAGAACATGCCTGGTGTATGAGTAAGCACAGTTTTTTGTACCATCTCCAAATGTCTTACCTTGTTTACATGAGCATCCAACTCTTCTTTGTTTATATAAGAATGTGAGAAATCAATAAGATTTTTTTGCTCAGCTTTGGAGTATTTTTTCTTTACCCAAGCTCAAGAAGTTACCAAAGAGAGGCAAATAAAATTCATGCATGAAGAAAGATTTTTGACATTGAAATTTGGCAAGGAGTCTGTGATTCTGGCCTACCTGCCTCCTGCTCCTCCATCAGCAGAGTCCTGGCTCCCCGTCTCACTAGGTGTGCTCACTGATTTGGAGGGGGACACAGGGGTTGGGACTAAATAGTGAAAATAACATGAATTTGACATTAAAAGCTGCAATGAATGTACTGCTAAAAGTTGGGTTAGAAAGCAAGAAAGTAAAACAAGCGATGGACAAGAAAAATAAATATTTAAAAGCAAGGAAAGAGAGGGCAGGGCATCAAATACATTGTTGATTTAGTATTTATTATTTATTTGTAGTCAGCTGCATTTGAGAATACATTATAAATAACTTAAGCTCATAACAGATCATAGCACTCCGTGACCCAAATCTGAGGTGTTGAGAGTGCTGTTACAATTTCAGACCACTAGAGAACACTGGAGACACACAGTGGGAAAAGATGGTAAATGGAAGTTGTTATAAAGATGACACTTTAAAGTACTTATGAAAAATCTTCAGCACTGTCCAACCACAGTGTGCATAACAGATCCTGGAATCAATGTATGATTAAAAAACAAAGCCAGTGTTATGCAATAAAACCAAAAATAGTATGCATGACAAAGTTACTCTTTCAGTTAAAGAAAAATAAGAACAGAAGTGCTCTACTGTGTAGAGTCACAGCAACACAGATGATAACATACTTTAGTTCTCTGATTATTCATTATCAGTAAGGCAGGACTGGACCGATGACTTTCACCAAATTACACATACAGTAGATGGCTGTGTTCATCTTAGGTCTGCTGTGTGATGAGTATAGTCTGACCCTTAGAGGGTTTCTCAGAGGTTTTTTGGCTGTAATCAATGATATTTGGTGTCATTCTAGATCCATCTATGTAGGTTTTACATGAGGTTTGACACACATAGAAGACAATTGATTTCCTTGTAATCATTACTGGTGCATTTATTAGCAGTTGCAGCTCACCAGTTGCTGAAAACAACAGTTGATCTTACAATGTCAGTTTCTCAGTCGATAATACCACAGGTGAATCCCAATTCTCTTATTTTACTATTCTTCGGTCCTTGACCGTTCCGGTCCGCTATGATGAAGGACATCCCAAAGATCTTATTTCTGCTCTGAGGGGCGAGGTCCCAGGAGCGAGGAGGCTACCTGGAGGAGCTATAACCGACGATACGAGTGTATCCTTGGTGGAAGTCTGTTACAGATTGACATGCCCCTGTGTCAGAAATCAGTTTGTGATGCTTCACATGAAGGCTTGAGGAAAGGACATCTCCTCCATACCTGTCTGATCTTCTGTCTAGTTATGTTCCACGCAGAGCTCTGCGCTCCTCAGAACATCAGTCCTTGGTTGTCCCACGGTCTCGATACAAAAAAATGGGGTGACCGCTCTTTTGCCGTGTATGGCCCCAGACTCTGGAATTCTCTACAGCTAGAGCTACGGCCCATAAACGAGCTGGCGGTTTTTAAGTCAACTCTAAAAACCTACCTTTTTAGACAGGCCTTTGGTGTTTAACCCGTCTTACCTCCTCCAAAGAGACGTTTTTAACTTGTTATTTTATTCTAGTTGTATCCTGATATGGACGTTTTTTTACCGTTTTTGTCTTAAAATTCCATGTTTTATTTTGTTTAAGTTTTTTTGTTTTAGTAGTGTTTTTTTAGCAGTTATACATGTTCTGCTGTGAAGCACTTTGGGCTCCGCTGGAGTTGTAAAGTGCTATAGAAATAAAGTTTTATTATTATTATTATTATTATTACGTTAGTAAAAATGTGTTTCTTTGGTTCCCCTCTATTTGCAGTTTCTCTTTGCATCTTTACCTTGCATCTTATGTGGGCGGGACTAAGACGCAAGGAAAAAATACAAGTGATGGAAACATGGATGCAATTAGAGGAATTGGGATTCACCTCGTGTGTCTGTGGGTACATCTTATGTCTCTTATAAGGTCATTCCTATATCATACATCCTCGGTCGATCAGAACAACTTCTAAGGACGTAGGGCACTCCAAGTCTCTTATATCTACTCTGAGGACCAGAGAGTGAGAACTGATGGTGGGGGAGCCATGACCAAGGATGCATGAGACCACCTTTCACTGAAGTTTTTGAGAACTGACACACCCCTTTATCAGTTGGTGATTGGGCGCTTCAGATGAAGGATCTGAGGAAAGGCCGCCTCATGTCATCAATAACGTGTTTCCTCAAGTCCTCTCTCCTCACGTTTCCTTGCATCTTACGTGGACGAGACTAAGACACAAGGAAAAATAAGCAAGTGAAGGAAACGATGGTGCTATTGAGAGACTTGGGATGTCCCCTGTGTGTGGTCAAAAAAAAAAACAAAAAACTGTCACCTCCAAGATCAGGAACACCTGGTAATAATCAACTCAAGTGTCCTTAAAAATTGGTCACACGTTCAACTAAATACATGTCTCCTGCTGGCCAGAGATACACACAACATAACAAATGCAAGAAAAACAAAAAATGGCTCGTACAGCAGGTTCTGTAACAATTTAAAAATAATTTTGCACCACAATCACAAGTGAAGGATTAATTCAATTTCAATAAATGAATTAATTTAGGGTATGAGAGTACCTAGTGGAGGCTCTGGTGAGATGCCGATACTCTGTAGCAGGGCCTCAGTCTCCCTGCGCTTACGATCCAAGTCTGAATCCTCTGGAGTCACCTCTGTCTTCTGCTGACTCTCTGTCTGCACAGGATACACAGATGAACGTCACCTTACCCGTAAACAAAAGAACAGGTGCACCACTCACCCACGATGAATTACAGAACAAATTAAAACGTGCACATTTTGATTAAAAATTCCATCACCAACCTTCTGCACACACAAAGATGTTTGTATGTACGCATGGACACACAGAAGCTCAGCCTTTTATGTCACGGCCTGACAAAAAGCAATCACACAAGCAGTGCACACTAGAGTGTGATACAGTACGAGTGCCAGTTCTGTGAATTTACTCACTTTTTTCCTTACCTCTTTCTTCTTCCTCTCTTCCTCCTTCCTCTTTTTTTCCTCCCTGATTTGGGCGAGGCGCTGCTTCTTGCGCTCAAGCTCTGCTTTTAGGTCACTTTTGTCTGACATGGTGTCCTATACGGGTTCTTCAAGTAAGAAGATCAAACAGAAATTAGCTACATACTGCACAGTCACAACATGGTCCAGTTTCATTTAAAGATGATACAGTAGAGAGGACTATTTATTTATCTAGTGAGCCTATGTGATGCTTCACTGGGTGTGGTGGCAATTTTATAGATCCATAACCTTGCAGGCCCTGCAATAAGGACTTGATACTGGGAAAGCAGCTGTCAGTACTAAACAATACAGAGCCAAGAGGGGTTTCCACATGTGAGATACTGGCCTAGTGTATATAAGTTACATTTAGATAGCCACTTCTTCTATTCAGTTCCTTCAAATCAACAGGGCTTAAAAAAAAAACCTAATCAAACCTTAGTTACATGGGAAAGGTATAAAAGCTCCACACTTCTGCTAATCAATTAAAAATATTTACATCCCAGTGTAAACAACAGAAAGACTAAATGCAGCCTTATGGTTAGGATGAACAATTATGTAACTGTTGAAAGGTAGGCTACCTATTTATAGCAGTCTGCAGCATGACCAATGATTTACTGGGACACTAGGCCAATGTCACATCCTTCAGACATAGTAAATTAGCACAAAGCACTTGGAACCTGGAGGTTTAAAGAGTTCTGCCAAAGTTATTTGGAACAAATATATGTGGAATATAACTAAAGGTGTGTAGGCCTTTACATAAACAATACATCTAATAGAAAACATCACAGTGATAAATATGCACACAGGAAGGAAAACATCCCACTGATCCTTTCGCTTAACAGACTAACTATCATTAATGTGACAGCATTGGTACTGACGTCAGTGCGTTTAAAGCTTTGACATAAACACTTTCCTGGCTTTTTGCTAACGCATAACTGGCAAATACAAGTTTATTTTGTCGCAAATAACCGTATAATATAGTTACTGCTTCTCTCCTACCTTTTCTACTAGCACTAATGTGTCACCAAGCAAAGATGCTGTCTCACTGCTGCACACCGAAGAAAAAAATCAACACATCCTCCACATGAATCACTGTGTCGAGGTCTCACGAGTATCTCCGAGCCCTTCGTTTAAACCTTGTCCTATGGCTCTTGATGACACTGGTTAAAGCTGCGCATTTCAGCGGCCGATGCCAAAAATACAACACAAAACAGGTGCACTGCACGCCGATACATCCCTGGGAGGAGAGGGATGATGTTGAGGAGGAGAGGAAATCCCACCTCCTCTACCACTGTCATCGGCTCATGGGTTTTACAGTGTGGCCATCTTCTGGTGGTTTGGAGAAATGCGCTGGAGTAGCCCAAACTAATAGTTAAACAAATGTCGACACTTTTCATGCATTACCGTGAGAGGCAGTCTGTTCCTTTTTGGTTGGTTGGTTCAGACAAGCAAATGTTGACTTAGTTGGTTTTAGATGGTGACCCCTTATTTTAAAATCGAAGCAGCAGGACACATAAGGCTACATTATTATTATTATTACTGCAACAGCTGCTCCCACTGTTTGTAATAAAGTTACCAGAAACATCCGTTTGTTACCAAACTAATTTCGGGAAACGTTCAAATAGGCCTTATAAATTACAACAAGTATTTCGGGTGGCTCTTCGGTAGGGCATGCTGTAATAAAATACTCCCTTATTTTGCAAACAGATTGGATCCAACGTTGTAAGAACTACACCCGCCTACAATCAGGTCATTGGCTGATGATATCAATCAATCCTCTTCCCCGCCCAACAACAACGTGATGACGTTGAAGCGAGTCGGTAGTTAAGGAAAAAGTTAAGGAACACTTAACGTTAATTCACAATACTGCGCTGATAACTTCAAGTGTTCCAGACATCTTAGTTAAATCCTTACCGCTGTTTGAAAACCACTTGTTAACCTTTGTTCTAGTTGTGAAAACACAAAAAATAGCGATTTCAGTGTTTTTGTCAGATCTATGCCGAATCATACCAGGGCCCGTAGCATCACTCCTGGCCAAAAATTCTCAGAAATTTGTCCTTAACTTTAGAAGCAGAAGTAATGTATCAACATTCCTAAATTTCAAAAATAATTTCTCCACCATCCCCTTGAGCTCCAAAGATGTTCTAACTGCTTAAGAGCTGACTTAAGAGATGACTGTCAGTCAGAGATGTACTGATTCAGTTTGAGGAGAGGACAGACTGTGCAAGATGCAATTGTACCATCAACAAGAAAAACATATCATATTCACCAAAACCAAGGTCATTAAAACACTACATCATTATTATTAACATTGCAGTGCAGCCTTGCAACAGTGATGATTTGTTACAGCCAATAATTTGATTGACCGCGGATGGATTGGGCTACTGAACAACTGACATAACGCTGTGCAGGAGTGGGATAAAGTCTGCAGTATATGAGAACTAGGCCTATATGTAATGTACAGTAAGGTGACAGTATTCAGTTTCTCTGATCAAAGCCACCATTTATTTTGATAACAGAATAAACCTTCGTAGTGAAAAACAAAATCACTGCAATTATACATGAATTGATCTCTATAAAACATGGTGTTGTTGATCCTGTATCTAAACCAATCAGCTCTCAGATCAGGTGAGAGCCAGATGTCTCCCATCATGTCCTGAGCTTTTGTACTGTAGTTGGTGGCCGGTCTGCTGAATTGTTCAGACACAACGGAGCTTTGACTGTGAACGTTTTGAGCCTCGCTTATGTGTCGGTTTTGACAATTTTCACATGAAGGCGAGAGGGAAATGAACACATTAACCACACAATTCTGCTTTCCCCACTCAAAAGCTTGATTTCAATAAAGCTTATTTTGCAGGTGGATGTTAAATATTAGCAAAAATTGTGTTTTTCCTTTTTAGCTCTATGTATTTTAAAGTGAAAAATTGAAAAAGAAACCTTTTTTTCATTATCTCATTTCTCATTCTATAACAGACTGAACAGAGTGTACACAGATTGGTCACAGGCCTATGTGTGGGTACAAGTGTTGGGGCCACTGGACCAGAGCCTCTGTACAAAGGTCAGTCATATGACTTGAAAAAAGACACCAAACGCCCTCAAAAAGACACAAACCTACTACAAAAACACAAAACAACAAGATGTAACATGGCTGCAAAGAGATGCTTCATGACCATAAAGACTCAAAACAACTACAAAAAGATTGCAGAATGACCACAAAGAGACAAAGAAACACAAAAGTACTGCAAAGTAAAAACAAAATTACAAAAAAAAAAGAGGCACAACACTATTTTTTAAATAGATGCAAAATATGTATGGCGTTGAAAACTGGGGAAATACATACAAAAGCTCACTTCAACCATTGTATATACTGTATTACAAAAAAGAGCTATAAGAATTGTGCATAAGATGGGATATAGGGATCACACCAATGGAGCTTTCATACAGTCTAAATTGTTAAAATTTTTTTGATTTAGTGGGATATAAGACTGCTGTGTTTATGTATAAAGCCAGGAACAATTTATTACCTGGTGGAATT